AGCGAATCGAACCGTTGCACCAGCGAGTCGAACGATGTACCAGCGAGTCGAACTATGTACCAGCGACTCAATAGTGGCGGGACCCAACGTTCAAAGGAAGCCCGCCACTTTCAAACAGTGTCCACTGTCAAGTCCCGCCACTTTCAAAAGGGTCCACTGTCACGTGACACTGTTTGAAAGTGGCGGGCTTCCTTTGAACGTTGGGTCCCGCCACTATTGAGTCGCTGGTACATCGTTCGACTCGCTGGCGCAACGTTCGATTCGGCGATTCGCTAGGATCGCTCGATTCGCTAGCGAATCGCTCGATTCGCAAACTATGACATCGGCCTGAGAGTGCATCACATCTCATTATTTTTTGTATTGAATAGAAACCAAAGAAGTGACATAATTATACTAACGTAGTTTAGGTCGACTGCAACATCCGAGGATAGTTCAGTATCTAGGAGTCCAGAAAACCAGCGATAGGATTCTGATATTCATGGAATATATGACGGGAGGTTCACTCAAAGAACACATAGCTTTAGTAGGGAGCTTGTCGGACGGTGTAGCGAGAAGACATACTGCGCAGGTACTTCTTACTCTTAGAATTGCGAATCATATTCTTGAATGCCACATAAAAAGATGCTCAACTTCTCGACGTGAATCATACAGGATTAATCCAGCTTCTGCCATGGAGTTTATAAGTTAAAATTCAGGTGTTGGAAGGTCTAGCGTTTCTCCACAAGAATCACATAATTCACCGTGACATAAAGTCTGCGAATATTCTTCGAGATTCAATGGGCAATGTAAAGATAGCCGACTTCGGATCAGGGAAGAAAATGCAAAGCTTGGCAAGTCAGCAAGGGGCTTTCCACAGTACTATTCACTACACTGCTCCGGAGGTAAGTAACGGTGCCGAGTCCGTATTTCCAGTCCTATTCAGAATGGTTGCTGCAACTCTAAATGTATTAGGAGATTTGACTTTTCTCTACTTTCAAGCATACGTTTTTCAATAGGTTCTATTGGGAAAAACGGCCTATGGTAGAAAAGCCGATGTATGGAGCGTTGGTGTGACACTTGTAGAGATGCTCACTGGGCAAGTCCCCTGGAAAGAGTTCGAACCTATGGCAGCTATGTTTCAGATTGCTTATGAAGAGCCGCGAATTGAGGTGGGTCATCGTTTGATGCCATTTTTTGCAAATAATTATAAACTTTCTGATCGTGAGTTTCTTCTTATCAAGCATAATTGGAGTGCTAAATTTGTGAGTATCTCATGTCAGCAAAATTCTCATTCAAGTTACCGCAAACAGTTCTACCAGTGATGGCTGATCTATGTAAAGTACTAATGAACAAAAACTTCGAAGAAAGACCGATGGCTGCCGAAGTTTTGCTCAATCATCCTGCTTTCAAATCGCAACCATGAGCAAACTCAATTGGTAAGAAATAAAATTGCTGTGCTAGTTAACCTCAGAGTTCCTTATGTAAATGACTTTCATAGAGGCCTTTTTAGTTTTATCGTGTTCGCAGTATTACGTACATATCTTTGAACATTTAAGATGGACCTATTCTTACATGTCAGTCTCCTTTTCCGGAATGTAAATACACCTACTATCATTTCTAGTTTTTTTCCTAGGCATCACCTATCACTTCTAGTTTTCGCTTTCTTACAAGTTTAACGGGTATGTGGTTTGTGAATTTCAAAACGAAATCTCCTATCACTAAGAATTTTGCGAGATATCATCAATGTACGTTTCGAACGACAATTGTTTCATAGTTGTCTAATTTCCTAATTCCACTTAATTTGTAATTACACTTCATTCACTTGTTATATATTGCACGTTCTAATTATGACTGTGATTTTGCTCAATGCCGCTCTAGTCTTATCATTTCAAGTTCATCATTCAGAATAGAAAATAAATATATTGTTTGTGATGGCCTATTATTTGTTGGTTACGGTATTAAACCATCATATACCGCTGCTGTGGTTCTTTGCTTTTTTTTGTACTTTTGTTTACTAGCGTTGGCGCGCACCATGCGAGAGTAATGGTGTGTAAAAATCATGCAATAATATGGTGAAAGGGGCAGTCTTGTATTTTTCCCATCTATGTAGTTGCGCTTGTTGAAGCCCATTGGAAAAGGCAATGCTCAATGCAAGGCCCAAGGTCCAAGAGAAGCTTCCTCTATGAGGCCCTAGCGTTGGCGCGCACTTGCGAGACGCGACTAGACTAGATACTCGCAGGTCGCCCTAACCTACCCGAAGAATTGATTATTCGACGTATTTCTCAATTTGCGGTAGCGCGCGATGTACTGGCCTGTCTCAAAATTTTCTTCGTAACTGGTTTTTAATAGCAATTTATTGCCTTGTGAGTCTTATGAATCCCCGCACTCATTTGTTGCCATTGGCCCGATTCTTTCATATTTCTCAGGCGACTTAACATTATCGTATTTAGATAGTAATGGAAATGCTTGACACTTTGAGGGAAACAATAGCTACTGTGCAAAATGAAATAACGTCAGGGTGAGTGCACAATAGCTCATAATTTACCAGCTTATTTGGTTTGGTTTGGTGTTTGGTCATTATTCCCAATTCGGTGTCTTTTTTGTGCACGATAAACAGAATGCGGGATTGTTATGAAAGGTTTCTTACGAATGGCATATATTTCTCCACGCTTTCGCATTTTTGTTTAAAGTAACACAACTTTGGACTTTATTTAGCAGTGGAGCTTAGTCCTCTCCCACTCCCTCATGCTGTCTTCATGTCAAAGTTTCTTAAATCCTTCAACAATCATTTTGTTCTTCCCTCTTACCTTCAGTGCTTTTGGTGGATTCCTGTTTCATTTCTCGTTTCACTTACTAACCCTCTCTTTCTACATCTTCATCGAGGCTTCTTTAAGTCTGACTAGAAAATGTCTTTTAATAAACCCGGCCGCTTAATATGAGGTGCACATTTTTGAGCGCCCTTCCAAGATAATCTCAAATGTGGTTTCATTTTCAGTTGAATGATTTTCAGAAGTTAGTTATGAAACCGAAAAGCGCAACTTAAGTGTTTGTAGCTCACAGGAAAGATTAATTGGATCGACTCCTAAGGAAACATGCTCATTCGCATCTCAAGAGAACATGCCCTAAAAAGGCTTTGAAGGGAAGAATTGAATGAAATGAGTAAAGAAATGCACACCCCATTTCGTTTGGCCGCGTGACCTAATTACTTTTCCTGGTGAGGTCAGGTGAAATTCGTTTTGAAATCCGTCACTGTACTTCATGGAAAATGTGTAATTTGTCACGAACAGTCATTCGCATTCTGTTGTGAGTGAAACGTGATAGGCGATTCTGTTCCAAAAAGAGTGTGCAATGAAACTGCAGACTGTTAACTACATGGAGATAATGAGCAGTCAAAATGGATCATAAAAAGGAACCTGTGCTGCGGTTCGTGGAAGCATACTTTTGAACGTCCAGTAGTAATTTTTTACAGGGTGGAACGGCTTCGTTTCAACGTCTCTCCATCGCTAGCCGCACAACAAAGGTGAGCTATTGCAACGTCTATGAAAGGGAAGCGAAAGGGAAAAGTTCTCTAATACACTGGTGTGCAAAACTTGAAGACGAGATAGATGAAGTAGCATAACTTATTAATAACTTTGTGGACCGTTTAGCGGTTCCTGTTCAACTGCTTTCTTGTGC